AAGCAGAGTGATCCTTGGATCTCGCAAACCTATATAGTCTTTTGTTTCAAGAGCTTTCTTCAACTTTCATACACCATTGGAATCGTCGATCGACAGACAATAATCTCAACTATCCGTTTTGAAAAATTTTGTTTCCTCATTGAGGAAAGTCGGCTTTACTGGTAAAAATCATAATTCTGCTCGTAATTCAAAATTTTTTCCTCACAACTCAACTTTTACACAATGAAAATATCATATTCGGAATCAGCATCAAAAATCAAGTCGAATGATGTAATTTTTAACCAATTAGATCAGTTTAATTTTTTTGAATTTTCACGTCGAATAATTACTGAGATTTTCATCAAAAATGAAAATCAACTAAAAATTTTGAAGTATGTGTCGATTCAAATCAAGTCGAATTCAATCCACTTTCCTCAACGAGGAAACAAAATTTTTCAAAACGGATAATTGCGATTATTGTCTGTCGATCGACGATTCCAATGGTATATGAAAGTTGAAGAAAGCTCTTGAAACAAAAGACTATATAGGTTTGCGAGATCCAAGGATCACTCTGCTTCTTGTGGGTCATGGTGGAGCTTGTTGAGGAAGAGAATGGTAACCAAATTCGCTTAAACATATATAGATAAACTTAGTTTTTGACGCTCAATCCGAGTAAAATAGTTTTAGAAATTTTCGATCAGTGTAAACGGAAGAATTATTGAATTTATGAAGTTATAGAATTAAGGAATTTATGAACTTTTAAAATTTAGGAATTTTATAGCGGCTGAGTTTATAATTCATATGCGCCGCAGTTTTGTTTATATGGTAAATTTTCTGTCATTAGGACGTATGCGAAAACGGTCACAATTCGAGAGATGAAAGATAAAAAGAACTGGATCGTTGATCGACATAGGACGACAGTGCATTTAAATACTGTTTGAAGCAGCTGTTTTTCTACTCACAAGCTTGTGTATTGATGGTTTCAAATCATCATAAAAATCAATGTTGTAAATTCATAAATTCTGTAAATTCTGAAGAGGTTGGGTTGGAAAGGAAATCTCAAATTTAGAACTTTGCTCTATGACGGACAGCCCTTAAACCTTAAAGTTAAGCTGAACTGTCGAGTTCGAGAATCTGTTATTTTTCCACTAATCGAGAAGCGTTTCAAATTGTCAGACATCGCTGCGATATCCCACATTCCTAAAAAGTTTGCATTTGTTTCAGACTTTATGTAAAGGAAAGCCTTGTATATAATTTTAAAGGTTTTAAATGAATTTTTCTCATCCAATAACTTCTACAGATACTGTATCTGTACTAACAATTTCTTATCGATTTGTTCCATGTTTTGTAGTGCTGAAGCACGTCAGAGTCCTAGAGTTCGCTTAAGTTTATGTCTTCTTTTTCACATAAAGCTCTTACATTTCGCTTACTTTAAAGGTACCATCGACATGCCAGCTGCTATTTTGATCAAGTCGGTCGAGTGCGTATTCGCATGCAAAAACCAGAACACGTCTATCGACATCTTGATTATCGTAAAGAATTTTGTCCATGTGAATTAACTTTGAGTTCATCGGGTAAAACAATATTAGCGAACGTTGTCGGAGTCGGCCGTGCTACGTCATTTTCTTTTCGTGTTCGTTCGATCGCTCGTTGTGTAGTTGTGTATTGTGGTATCGATGCTGCAGCTTTGACCGAAACGTTCATACGTGCGTCCGAAATGATAGTACGTGGCGGATCGTGTGATTGTTTTGCTCTTTCACGAATTTCATGATTATAGCGTGCTTTTGCGACGTCTTCGGGGTTAGATGCATGAGTGTGGCTACTTGCCAACTGGCAGAAACCTTGCTGCGTTACACCCGCTCGTCCAGTACAGTGTGCATTAACCCATCTCCACTGACTTTTATCTCTTCGATAGCGATATCCGTCGCATAAAAACTGATCGGCAGCTCGGACAGATTTGATAGTTGCTCCAATGGCTGGCGGATCTTCTCGTTCGCGTGTAGCCTGAGCTTCTGTCTCATCACGTAAACGTTTCGTTCTCAACTCACTTTTGGCCTTTTCTTTCGCTATCTTCTCAGTTTCCTCATCTGCAAGAATTCTTTCTTGAGTTGCACATTCTAATGCTTTACATTCCGACTCCCGTGCATTTTCTTGTCCTTTTTCCAACTTCGCATCTCTTGCAGCCTGTTGCATAGACTTCTCCACTGCTCGTTGCCTTTCTTCCGCTCTCTCACGAACAAGTCTCTCCTCTTCCTGATAATCACGAACACGTGCCTGAAATTGTTGCTCTTCATAAGATCGTTGCTCGTCTTGTTCTTCTCTCCGCCTTTCTTCTTCCTGACGACGTAGTTCCTGTAAACGAATCTCTTCTTTATGTCGACGCCGCTCTTCGAGAGCAAGGTTTTCCTCTAATAATCTCTGATCCTGACGGTTTTTTTCTTCAAGACGTTGTTGTTCAGCAATTCGTTCCTTTTCAATAGCTGGCTGCTCCTGGAGCAAACGCTCTTCTTCTACCCGTTGATCAGATAGATACTTCTGAAGGTCGAAATAACTACCGGTACTAGTGTTTGATACCTCTTCATCCAAATGTTTCATGACATCATTGAAAGTTGACTCGAACGAATCTGAATGTGTTAACTGTCCTACGTTGGACTTCGCCGACTTTGATCGTGTTAGCACAGTATATGCCCTCGTGTTACAATCTAAATGAATCGATTGAATACTTGATAACATTTGCACGTCCGACGTCGATGTAGGCATGCACCAATATCAATCGTTATGGAAGATATTGTACAATATTATTGGGCATTCAAGAATATTCAGATCCAATACTATTGTATGCCCAATATACTGATTCCAATAATATTGGGTATCCAATACTATTGTATGTCCAATATACTGATTCCAATAATATTGGGTATCCAATACTATTGTACAATAATATTGGGTTCCACAATACACTGGATTCCAGCTTTTTAACCTTAATATCATTTACATTCATAGGACAATGAGGAAGCATATCAAAATCGGGATATATATTCCGATCGAGCTAGGTATGCACCGGTATCGGTATCTACACCGAAATACCGACTATTTTACTAGGACGTTTTTGGATTTTTTCCGTTGAAATGGGATATTTTGATTAACCGACGTTTGAGCGACCGACATTTGAACCACCTCAACAATTGAGCGATGCGCATCACTTATAGCTACTCACCCTCATCCTCCCTCACTCACCATCACCGTCACACAGCCTCAGCGAAATAAATTCTTTGCATTTGAATTCAAAATTCAAGTGTTCAATTCTATCAGCTGTGTAGTGTTCTTTTGTGCTTTGCTTCTTTCGGTTCTGTCCTTATCTCTCTCAATCCTAATATATTGGATGACAAATATTTAGTGGTGGCGCGAGGATTTTGCTCTGGGGTGGGCTTAGCCCACCTATTTTGGGAACAGCAGAAAAAACATTAAGCTCATTTCGAATACATTGAAAAATTTTCAGAGTGGGCTTAATTTCCTTTCGGGTGGGCTCAATCCACCCCTGGCGCCGCCACTACAAATATTATTGGTTCCAATATATTGGATCTACAATAATATTCGAACCCAATATATTATATTGGTGCATGCCTACGTCGATGTATAATTCAATATTCTAACAGTACCATTTCTTTTTTAAAGAGCATTTCTCGAATCTGCAACCAAACGACGTTTATCTCATGTCATCCTCTTTTTTTAGCTACCCAGATACTGCAGACATTGGACGATTATCAAATCCTTCTTTTCTTCTTATGAAATATTTTCGTTTTTTAACAAAAATTTTTTGTGTACTCAAATAATACAATATTAAGTGATATAGTTTTGGGTAATTAAACGTTCAATTCAATAGAAACTAGTTTGTATGACTTACCTAACTAACCGTGCAGCTAACGCAGTAATGAAGCGAACAAGGATGAAAATGTGTAAAATGCATTTATGATATTTTCTTTTTTGTATGTATTGTCAAGATAAGATCATCAACGTAATTGGTAAGAAAGAGAAAAAAAAGAATGATAGGTACCTAGTCTCAACAATCTGATTTCTGCCTTTTACTTTTAATCACGTCTCACTTATAAACTTTTTATCTTGCGGCACGTGCATTTTCTTCATTTATCTTGAAATCGAGGTCCCATGATTGGGACCACTTTTTCGTAATGCTTATCAATTAGATTTAACAAGTGGTCTCAATTTGGAAGTGAAAATTTATGCACAACTTTGAATCTGCATTAACGTCACATAACATTAATAAAACAAGGTGTCTCTATATAGTAGTTCATATCTTATTTATGAATACTGAGTTTGGTTATCCAGTATTTTTCTTTTATTCGTCGAATCAATTTTTTTCTGAATATTGTATAAACGATGTACACATATAACTATATAAACACTTATTGTATATAACACATATAACGACGTAAAGACAGTAAACGTCCGATGCATTTTAACTGGTCGCAAATGTCTGGGTGTAGATTTTCAACCTAATTTCGCAATCGTTTCGAGCAACCGTCCTGATCTCATTTCTGTATAAGAATTCGATATATCGCTAAAGAGAACATTTTATTTATTCAAAATCATTATGTCATTACCATCACGATAGAATTCGTTTCGTATAACAAATATTATTATTATCACAAAAACGGTGTTCAGAAAATTTAAAAAAAAAGAAATCACAATAAGCGAATAAATTACCGGTGACATTTCATGATACGTTCACGTAATTCGTCACGATCGATCGTTTTTAATTCATCTTTGGCATTTTTGATGAGCGATTGTGAAAAACAAGGATTGGCGGCTGAAGAAATATTCAAGGTGATTAAGTATGTTTTGACAGGATGAAACGCATCCACGTGATGAGTTACATCGGCTGCCAAAGGACGGGAAACGGTTTCTGCTAGAAAATCGCCCAGTATGATTTTGAGTGGAAATGATCGGAAATGCTTCCCTTTTCACTTCCCAACACTGCCCATTTTCAAAAAATCCTTCTGGTGTCTTAGAA